GAGGGCTGGGGGCATGTGGGGGCTGGAGGTGTATTTGGGAGGTGGGGACTGGGGGTACGTGTGCCGGCTGGGGGGCCATGCGGCCACAGCAGGGTAAGGGTGTTGGTGAAAGTGAACCACCCAAGGCCACACGTGGGTCCCAAACCTGGATTTCTTGACGGTGCTCCAGGGTCCCAGAACCCTTTCCTGCTCTTAAATTCTTGGAGCCCAGAAGGGAAGGGTCCTGGAATGTCTCTGCCCCGGGCCTGACCCCAGGGGACAGAGCTGATGGCGCAAGGCAGGTGTACAGCTGGCCCTGATACAGATGATGCCTGTGACTGGCTGGGCCCTGGCATGGCTGTCGCTGTGATTGCATGTGAGCCTCGTGACCCCTTAGAGCCTGGCATCATCAGCCCATTCTCCAGATGGAGAAGCTGAGGTCCAGGGAGGGGAAGCATAGGCTGGGGTGGAGGTGAGTGGGCTCTGGTCTTCTTGGTTCTGGGCTTGTCGGAGGGAGGGACAGAGCCAGTGGGCCACCAGCCTGGGGTGCCGTGTCCCTAGAATGCCCCCCTATCGGGATGGAGTCGCATCATATCGAGGACAACCAGATCCGGGCCTCCTCCATGCTGCGCCATGGCCTGGGGGCACAGCGCGCCCGGCTCAACATGCAGGTGGGTGTTGGGATGTGCCCCCCTACCAGCTGGGCAGAGGGCTCCTCTGCCCGCTCAGCCTCCCCACTACCCCTGACAGGCTGGTGCCACCGAGGATGACTACTTTGACGGGGCATGGTGTGCTGAGGACGACCCTCAGACCCAGTGGATCGAGGTGGACACCAGAAGGACCACCAAGTTCACAGGTGTCATCACCCAGGGCCGTGACTCCAGCATCCAGTACGTCAACCAGGCTCACAGGCACTTGGTGGGGGCGAGTGGCTCCAGGCCTAGCTGGGTCCCGTTAGAGACATTCCAGTGGGCCCTCCAGGGCCGCTGCCCCTGCTCCTCGGCTATGGCTAGTCAGCTCCCCGTGTCCAGTTGAGCAAACCATTCCTCCACACCATGTAGCAGCCATAGGAGCCACTCCTGATGCCCTAGCTCCACGCACCCCTGCTAGCTCTTAAGTTCTCCGGCCCAGAAGAGGGGGCTCAGGCTGCTGGAGGGCCTGGGAGTGGGGCAGGGAGATCAGCCTTGCCCAGACTGCCATCTGCTCCCCAGTGATGACTTTGTGACCTCCTTCTTCGTGGGCTTCAGCAACGACAGCCAGACGTGGGTGATGTACACCAACGGCTATGAGGAAATGGTAAGCACCGAGCCTGTGGCTCTGCTCCCGTTGTCTGGGCTTCGGGTGGGCTCTCGGCCAGGGTGGGGTGCCGCTCTGAGGCCTGCCTCTCCCCAGACCTTCCACGGGAACGTGGACAAGGACACCCCTGTGCTGAGTGAGCTCCCGGAGCCGGTGGTGGCCCGCTTCATCCGCATCTACCCACTCACCTGGAACGGCAGCCTGTGCATGCGCCTGGAGGTGCTGGGGTGCCCCGTGTCCCGTGAGTGCAGGGGGCTGGTGGGGCTCGCAGGGGCGGCTGGGGCAACCTGGTGGGCTGGCAGGTGGCGGCTCAGGGCCCTGCCTTCCCACCCTCTACAGCTGTCCACAGCTACTACGCACAGAATGAGGTGGTGACCACTGACAACCTGGACTTCCGGCACCACAGCTACAAGGACATGCGCCAGGTGGGGCGGCTGCCCAGGGGCCAGGGGTCCTGTCCAGGGGCTGGGGTGTCCTGTCTGGGGGCCAGGGGAGTTATGTCCAGGGGTGGAGGTCCTGTTCTGGGGGCTGGGGGTCCTGTCCAGAGGCTGGGCTCAAGGCTAATGGGAGATCGTATCTGGTGCTCTGAGTTCTGCTCCCGGCCCAGATAGCCTGTCTGAGGCCAGCCCTCTTCTCAAGAGGGAGGAACTCCTAAGGCCTCTCCCTCCAGCGCGAGTACCTCAGAAGGGCTGGCGTCACTTTAGGGGCCACTCCTACTGCAGAAGCCTTCCCCGTAGAGCAGATCGAGGCAGTGGGAGAGGCCGTGGTCACTGGGGGTGGACTAGCACTCGCTGCATCCTGGGCTACCTCTGGACTGTGTGACTCATGTCCCCTCCTGCGCCCAGCTGATGAAGGCGGTGAACGAGGAGTGCCCCACTATCACCCGCACATACAGCCTGGGGAAGAGCTCACGCGGGCTCAAGATCTACGCCATGGAGATCTCGGACAACCCTGGGGACCATGAGCTGGGTGAGGGCCCCCACAGCCCCTGGAGGCCTGGATTAGATCCCCCCATGGATTAGAGGCAAGGCGCTGGCACTGCAGCTGGGCCTGTGGCATTGATGTTCTCAGCTCACCACCTCCTCCCTGTCCTTAGAGCTCCCCTGGGGGATCCAGTCGGCCGTGCTGGGCCCTGCAAGCCTCAGCTGCTCCCCAGCTCCCTGGCAGGAAGGCCAGTTTGGATCCTTCTTCATATCCTTGAGGCCTTGGGAGGCTGGGTAGTTGCTGAGGCTCCTGCCCTTGCAGGGGAGCCCGAGTTTCGCTACACGGCTGGGATCCATGGCAACGAGGTGCTGGGGCGTGAGCTGCTGCTGCTGCTCATGCAGTACCTGTGCCGCGAATACCGCGACGGGAACCCCCGTGTGCGCAGCCTAGTGCAGGACACGCGCATCCACCTGGTGCCCTCACTGAACCCTGATGGCTATGAGGTGGCAGCGCAGATGGTGAGTTGGGGTGGGGGTGGGGGGCTGGGCGGGAAGGGTGGGGGGAGCAGGGGAACTGCAGCCAGCAGGGGCAGGACTAGGAGCGGGCTGCTGATGCTAACCCCACTGGCTCCCCCAGGGCTCAGAGTTTGGGAACTGGGCACTGGGGCTGTGGACCGAGGAGGGCTTTGACATCTATGAAGACTTCCCGGATCTCAACTCTGTGCTCTGGGGAGCTGAGGAGAGGAAATGGGTCCCCTACCGCGTCCCCAACAATAACCTGCCCATCCCTGAACGCTACCTCTCCCCAGATGCCACGGTGAGGCCGCAGCCCAGACCCTGGGGTCCTGGAGCTCTGGACTTGGGGGTGGACTGGGGGTGCCTTAGCCTGGGTGCTGAGACGGAGGGGCTTGAAGGGACAAGAGGGGGCATGAATACCAATATGGGGTCTGCATGGAGGGTGATGGAGGCTGTGGCCCAGACCTCAGCACTGGCCGCCCCCAGGTGTCCACGGAGGTCAGGGCCATCATTGCCTGGATGGAGAAGAACCCCTTTGTGCTGGGGGCAAACCTGAACGGTGGCGAGCGGCTGGTGTCCTACCCCTACGACATGGCCCGCACGCCCAGCCAGGAGCAGCTGCTGGCTGCAGCCATGGCAGCTGCCAGGGGAGAGGATGAGGACGAGGCATCTGAGGTCCAGGAGACCCCAGACCACGCCATCTTCCGCTGGCTGGCCATCTCCTTTGCCTCTGCCCACCTCACCATGACTGAGCCCTACCGGGGAGGGTGCCAAGCGCAGGACTACACCGGTGGCATGGGCATCGTCAACGGGGCCACGTGGAACCCCCGATCTGGAAGTGAGTCAGCCTGGGAGGGGCCGTGGTGGGGCATGTGGTGTGGGGCGGGGGTGACTGGGCTCTGTGTCTGCCCTGCCCAGCTATCAATGACTTCAGTTACCTGCACACCAACTGCCTGGAGCTCTCCATCTACCTGGGCTGCGACAAGTTCCCTCACGAGAGTGAGCTGCCCCGAGAGTGGGAGAACAACAAGGAAGCTCTGCTCACCTTCATGGAGCAGGTGGGGGGCGGCTGTATCTGAGAGAGGTTGCTGAAGGGCTGGGGCGGGGAGGAGGGGAGCAGCAGGCTGTGAGGGGTCTCCATGTGGATACCAGCCCTTGCTTCCTTCCTGCAGGTTCACCGTGGCATCAAGGGAGTTGTGACGGACGAGCAGGGCATCCCTATTGCCAATGCCACCATTTCCGTGAGTGGCATCAACCATGGTGTCAAGACAGGTACTTGTGTGCACCCTCCCAAGGTGGGGGACCAAATCTGGGCCCAGCAGGTCCCTGCTCCCTGGGACCCCACCAGAGAGGGTCTGCCCTGGCCAGAGGGAGGGCTGAGGGGGCTGCGGGGATCTCAGAGAGAAGGGTTGGGGGGACCTGAGAGACAAGGGTTGGAGGGATCTGAGAGAGGAGGGCTGGGGCCTGGGAGGGGGGACTCTTGAGCAGCTGAGTCTATCCTCCCTCTGCAGCAAGTGGTGGTGATTACTGGCGAATCCTGAACCCGGGTGAGTACCGTGTGACAGCTCACGCAGAGGGCTACACCCCGAGCGCCAAGACCTGCAACGTGGATTACGACATCGGGGCCACCCAGTGCAACTTCATCCTGGCACGCTCCAATTGGAAGCGCATCCGGGAGATCTTGGCCATGAATGGGAACCGGCCCATCCCACACATTGACCCCTCACGCCCCATGACCCCCCAGCAGCGACGCATGCAGCGCCGCCGCCTGCAGTACCGGCTGCGAATGCGCGAACAGATGCGGCTCCGTCGCCTCAATGCCACCACAAGCCCAGCCACCTCCCCCACATCGCCCCCCACCACCCCCACACTGCTCCCCACCCCCACCCTCGCTCCCTCACCCGCACCGAGCTCCACCCTGGGGCCCTGGCACTTTATACCCGAGACCACGGCTGACTGGGAGGAGTCAGAGACTGAGACCTACACAGAGGTGGTGACGGAGTTTGGGACGGAGCTGGGGCCCGAGGAGGAGGAAGAGAAGGAGGAGGAGGAGATGGTCACCGGCCCAGAGTTCCCCTTCACCACAGCCGAGACCTACACAGTGAACTTCGGGGACTTCTGAGAACAGGTCTCCCAACGCCGAGCCTGCGCCAGTAGTCATGTCACCTCGGCCAGCTCGGTGGCCATTAGCACATGGAAGGCCCCCTGGGGTGGGCCGGGCCAGGAGGGGGCATGAATGTGACCAAGACCTACGAGCCTGGGTCTGTGTCAGGCTTCTGCTCCACCTGCTGGCTTCGTAGAGGACAGGCTGTGGCAGGGCTGGGGTGGGGGCAGGCCGAGTGAGCCCAGGAGGCAGACTTCTCAACACCTGCCCAGGCCGCACCAATAAACCAAGCTCATGGCAGATGTGGGGCTGACTGCTCGCTGTTCTGACCAGCTCGGGGAAAGGGGAGGAGGAAGGAGACTTACATTCACCGCGGGCTCTCCCCAGAGGAGGGCCCTGGCCCGCCATCAGGTCTGCCCAGGAGCTCAACACCGGTAAATGGTCAGGCTTTATTTACAGAGCAAAAGCTGCTCCAGTGCTGATGTTGCAGGGAACGAACGGCCAGGGCCTCTCTGGACAAGGCTCCTTTGTGAGTCAGGGGCCCAGACCCAGGCCTCCCAGGTCCTCGTCCTCTGCCCCGAAGCCTGAGAAGCTGATGGGCTGGCAGGCCAGGCTGCGCAGGTTTACGAGGCAGGCGGTTTGTGTGGTACTGAAGTCCGGGACGGCCACCAACAGCACCGTCTGGTCCTCGGGGCCTGCAAAGAAGGCATGTGGGAACCCACCTTAGCTCTGGGTGAGCCCTTCTCAAACGGAAGTCACCAGAAGTGAACAGGAGCCCCCCATCAGCACCGTGGGAGTGCTGACCACAGGAGCTCCTGTGGACTGGAAATGGGAAGGGCTGAGGACACACAAACTCCAAGGCTAGGCCATGCTGACCAGAGGTGAGCTGACCCCACCACACGGGCATGGACAATTCTAGCCAGCCACCCACCAGGGAGAGCCTGGGCCGAGCGCCCACAGGGCCGGGGGAACTGGAGTACAGGTCTTCTCTGTGAGCCTTGTCCCCAGGTGAGTGAGCGCCTTTTGGGCCAGCCCAGGCCTGGGCCCCCAGAACACGAAACTTACCTTGGATGATTTTGGAGCCAAAGCTGGGTGTGTTGCCACAGAAGTAGACGTGAGGGCACTCGGGAAAGACGAACGGGTCACTCTTGTAGAAAGGATAGCAGCCTGGAGAAGACAGGCCTCAGCTGACAGTGGGCTCCTCGTCTCACACTGCAGACACAGGGCGCTGTCCCGTGGAGGATGGGGAGTGCCATCCCTGCTCACTCACTGTCTCTCTGTCTCTCTCGATGGTGGTGGCAGCCCCGCCATTGTGACAACAAAAACACCTCTTGACATTGCCATGGGACCCCTGGGGCAGGTCACTGTGCCCTGCCACCTCTGCCCTTCTGGATGGGTAGTGCTCTGACGAGCCCAAGCTCCCAAGATGCTCCCGTGGCCTTCAGCCCTGAGCAGGGCCTGGGCCATAGAGGTAAGATTCCAAAGTAGCTTCCAGAACAAGTGTCAAGCTTTTGGACTTTTCCTGAGGTCACAGCACATCCACACCGGGAACCCTCAGGGCACCAAGGGGCCCTGTCGGGCCTTCCCTGGTCCTTCAGTCCCACCCCATGTGGTTGAGTCCCATTACCTAGGGTGTCAGGGGCTGTGGGACTGATGTGACGGACTCGCAGAGTCCACTCCAGGATCTCCAAGTGATCCTCCATGCTGCTGTACCGGAAAATATCACTCACGTTCTGTCCTGATGTCCCCAGGAATCTGCAAGGAGAGGTGAGGCTGACCCCTACCCCGGGAACTGTCATCTGCACCCCTCCCACAGCGGCCGGCCCAGAGCCCACCTGGCACTCCCATGGGGGGTGTCCCAAGCCAAACTTGAAAAGAGCCCAATTCCAGGTGGGCCCTTTGCAGCCCTGAACCCAACCCACCCCTCCTGGTGCCACTGAGGCAAAAGGCTGGAGTGTGGCTGCGCTGGCTACCTGACTCCATCGATGGTGGCCTGGTAGGGGTTGGTGACCAGCTGGAGCGTGGAGTAGGCAGTGGCCAGTGGGAACATGCAGGGATGCAGGGGCTGCTGGGGGAGCGTGTAGTTGGTTGGGTCAAATTCACCTGGCATCACGTCCACGGGCACTGAGGCCTGGAGGGCACAGGGGCAGGGGAGCTCACAGGGCCCAGCGCCCTCCACACGCAGCCCTGCTGGAGCTCCCTCCACCTCCCCTTCCCTGGTCCGCCCAAGTACAGCCTCAAAGACTCCAATCTCGATCACCGGCCAACCCCCAGCTTGCTCACACTCAGCTGCAGGAGGATCTCATCCAGCATCTTGACGGCTTCCACACTGGCTGCCTGGGTTTTCTTGGTTAGGTACTTGGCCTAGGAGTAGAAGCCCACAGGCTATCAGGCCCTGAGTGAAGCTTAGATCAAAGGGGCACCCAGAGCCCCCCCTGGAGGGCTGAGAGCAGAACAAAGCCCCACCCACAGTGGGGCAGTAAGAGCTCTGTGCCGCAGGCTGCCCACCACTCTCAGAAGGCAGGGCCCAGCATGACGCTGCGCCAAGCAGAGACAGTCCCACTGTCACTGCTGGACACCTCCCACTAGACCTGCAAGAACCCGTGCCCTGACTCCGGGGAAGGAGGGGCTGGATGCACCCAGGCGGGCACCATACCTTGTTGATGGAATCTCTGCTCTGGGTGTTGTGGCTGAGGAGGTTCCCAGCGAGGATGACCCGGGAGACATGGGCGGCGCTGCACTGCTCCCCTTCATCCCCAAGCTGCCCCGTCACCACATCCACCAGCAGCTGGGTGCCCAGCAGGCTCTCGCCCCCACCTCCACCCAGGCCCAGACCGGACACCAGCAGCACAAACCTGCGGGAGAAGGTGGGGTCCTCCTGGGCACCAAGAAAGCAGGCAGTCCCCCCAGGTGGGTGGGCCTCACGGAGTCACTAGTGGAGCTCCGTCACCGTCATGAGTGAGCAGGGGAGATACAGCCTGACAACTGCGGTTCCCCTGGACCACTGACTGGGGCACCTGAGCGACTGCTCCTCACCTGTCTGTGTCAAGGAGGGGTGCGGGCTTCTGAGGAGCAAGCTCTGCAAAGCAATGGTCCTCCACCTGGAACTTCCCATCGTCTCTCACAGAGCCAAGTACGGCCAGGACCGTCCCTGGGAAGCAGCAATGTCAGGCCCTGAGGAGGGGAGCCCGAGGGGCTGCCACCTCCCTCCAGTCACTCAAACGGCAAAACCAGCCGGTTCTCCTCTGCTGTGCTGGCAAATTCTCACTTAGGACTCGGGACTGAGCGTCAGCTTCCTGGGGTCACTGCCTTCCAGTGGAGGTGGGAAGAACTGAACCCCTACATGGGTGTCACCCACTGCCTGAACCCAAACCCATTGCTCCAGGAAGGTAGGTGTCACCAGCACCCACAGGCACAGGCCGCCCCCTCCCCACTGCCCACCTGTGACCAGCTTTGACACGTCGATGGTGCCTTCCAGTCTGATACGCTGCAATTCATCTTCCAAGACCAGCTCATCGTCTGGGTGGATGTATTTGCTCCGAGGAGGCTGGGGGAGCAGGTTGTGCTGGAATTTGGAGATAGGACGTGGTCTTGGGGCAGAGCCCACCAAGGCTCCCATGCCGCATCAGTGAGATGGCACTGCAGCTGCCACCCCCCATGGGGGTAGAGGCCCAGCCCCAAATCCCTGGGTCCAAGGCAGGTGGCCCCACTGGTGCCCCCAGGGAAGTGTTCCAGGGAAGGCCCACATGAACCGGCCGGCCAGCCTCACCTCCTCGCTGACCTCCCGCAGGATGGAGGGCTGGAGCGGCATGGCCTTGAAGAGGGTGCCCACCACACAGCATTTCTCCCCAGGCTGCAGCTCACACAGCTTCTTTATTTGGACTCCACTGCCTGGGGCACGAGGGGCATGAGCTCAGAGGCCAGGCGGCCCTCCTGCTGCCCCCACGGGACACTGTCACAGGCCTCACTGAGCGCTGTAGCCCAGGGCCCTAGCCTCTGCCAGGAGGGAGAGAACGTCAAGTGCAAGGACCCCCTGGGCCTAAGGATTGCTCGGCCTCAGGAGGACAGAGGGACTCTCGATGTGGCTGGGCCCTGGTTGCCAAGCGTCCTTGTAAGAGAGGCAGGCATGCAGAGGGTGATGTGAAGACAGGACAGAGATGAGTGATGCAGCCACAAGCCCAGGAATGCCGGGGCAGCCACCAGAAGCTGGAAGAGGCAAGGAAGGATCCTGCCTCAGGGCCTCCGGAGGGAGCTCGGCCCTGCCAACACCTGGATTTCGGACTTCTGGCCTCCAGAACTGGGAGAGAATAAATTTCTGTTGTTTTAAGCTGCCCTGTTTGTGGCTTTGTTGTTTGTTACAGCAGCCACAAGAAACTAACACAGAGTATTACCTCACTTATACCTAAATTGTAACACTGATTCTTGGAAAGAGGCATGCCAAGTCTCAACACAGCCCAGCCCTAAAAATATTACAACTTCCTTTAAGAGTCTGGATTCTTCCACCCGCCCCACAAATGCCTCATCCTCTGAAACAGAAATACCCCAAATTTACACTGCATATGCCCATCCAGCCCATTCTGCTCCCTGCAGAGGCAGGCGGCCCTGTTCACTGGAGCGCCTGGGATCCTGGAGAACAACACATGGGAAGCGTTGAGGGACACACAGGAAGACAGGCATGGGAGACACGTCGTCCACAGGGGTCACTCGGGCGGAGGAGGCAGGAGCACAAGTCCCAGCAGGCCCGTGGATTTGTCAGTACAGACCCCAAGCCTGGAGGAAAACGCTGTCAGGAGGTGACAGGATAATGTGGATGCGGGACCAGCCCCTTCTTTAGTTCAGCTGACTCCAGCACGGCCCCTGCTGCCCTGGAATAACCAAGAACATTCCACAGATCTACACACTGGGGAGTGGAGGAGAGCAATTCAAAACAAAATAAGGAGCTACAGCACAGGACAGAAATGCCAGATGCCAACAGAAACAGTAGATCCCAAAGTGCCGACGTCTGCCAAGCCCTCACTCAGCCCGGGGTGCTGTGCCAAGGACTGGGCACAGAACATTTCCACCACTGGCAACACGCCAGAGTAGGTAGTAGTGCCCCACCATATGGTTGAGGAAACTGAGGCAGAGAGAGACTAAGTAACACATCCAAGATTACACAGCTGGGGTCCAACGTGTGCACCTTAGCACCAGACAGAACCACACATCCCTGCGCCGAGGGCAGGACATCCATCTGTCCGGGCGGCGTGTGGGCACCAGTCCAGGCCCCAGCACCAAGACTGAACACAAAGGCCCATCCTCAC